TATGTTTCTGTGCATACTACTATTGTACCGTTATTGCTATTGCTTTTCATTTGATTTATATCGGGGTGTATTATGCGATTTAGTGTGGCTTGGTTTCGAACGTGGCAACGCCGTATAATTCATGTTTCGCTTGACGGCCGAATTGCTGGTCACTTATTTGTATTTAACATTTTTTCACGCCAATTTTAACAGTGATTTTCTATTTGATTTGATTTTTCTATTTTTTTTTTTTCTATACACATGAGGCAGAGATACTTGCTTGCGGGTGTCGGAGTTCGGAGGTTGCTTATGAAAGTAGCGGGTTTGTTGCAGATAAGAAAAATTTTAGTCTAATGAAAAGATGCTTTTCTGAAAAGATTCGTATCTTGCTATTTACGGCCTTTTGAGCATTCAATTCGCAATATCATCACCCGTCTTGAGAGCAAGCATTCATTATTGAATAAATTTCTGAACTGAAGTTTGGCACGACTTGGTACATTTTACGAAATCTTTATTTGAAAGCGTACAAAATACAACTTGTACAAGTACGAGTACTAAAGCCACTCGAACTTCCCAAACAACATGGCTTCGTTCTGTGGGCTCTTGAGAAGTTCCAAACAGAATGTGACGTTTTCGATCCAAATTTTATTCAGCGATGATAACTAAAACAACCCAATATTTTATGCAAAATCATATTTCAGTACTCTATAATATCTACAATTAAAAGCTTCTCGTTTTGGAGAATAATTCAGAAAAGATATGAATCTCATTTTGGAGAAAAAAAGCCCTTCACAAATAACAAATATATCCACATAAGAATTTGATTTTAATCAGTCAATTTCATTCGGAGATTGTTGCGTTCTATAGAGAATTAACCAAAGCCGATTTTGTGAAGATACTTTGTCAACTAAAAAAGTTTACTATATAAGTGGTTTTGAGCGTTCACTTTGTAGCTATACGCTATACTAAACCGATAGCGGCAATTCCAACAAATTAGCAGCTTCTTGTGAAAAAAAAGCACATAGGCAACATTTTTGAACAATTTCTCAAAAACTGAGAGATTATTTTTTGAGTTCAACAGTATACTTATAATTTGCAATATTTTTTAATACAAAACTAGTTGTAATATAAAATTTAAGTAAGGAATTTTGACTTATGGTCTAAATAGCCATATGGTGTCACTGTGGCGCTCTGCATAGGAACAATAAAATTTTATAAGAAATATGCTTTACCAAATCTGGATATTAATTGTCATGTTATACCCGAATTAAACCATGTTCACCTCTTAGATCTCACCTGCAACTAAGCCACTAATATGCTACTTTACAGAATCGTATCGGAAAGCGCTAATATTTAAAAGCAGCTGCAGAAAATACATAAAAGTTCAGTATGGAATATCGAAAAAAATCTAATGACTGTTATGCCACTGGGAAAAAGTATAAAATTGCTTATGTTAAGTCAGTTGAAATATATTTACATACTATACTCATGTGATAAATTTAGAAAAGATTAAAAAAAAAAAACAAATTTATTATTATAGTGTAGAAATTTGAAAGAATATAAATAATATTTGCGTAATATTTTTAAAGCTAAACCTTTCAAGAATAAAAGTCTTAAAGAAAGTAATTTTTTTTTTTTTTTTTTTTTTTTTTTTTTTTTTTTTTTTTTTTTTTTTTTTTTTTTTTTTTTTTTCAGATATACTTCATAGCACTTTTAGTAACATGACATCTAGACCGACGTGGCCGCTGTACACTGGGTGGAGTTTCATTTGAATTTTTCTTCGAAACTACTTTATGATATAAAATTTTTGTTTTAAAAAAATCATGTTTAAATATGTTTCCGAAAAAGTAATATAATAAAATAATATTCCACAAATAAAAAATATTTAGCTTTTATACCAAACATCTATGAAGAATATATAAAAAATAAAAAGAAATCGTCGGCAAATTTTCACAAAACTTCAAATGTCAAAAATATTGGTTTTCACATTCAATTTTTTTTTTCCACTTTCACTGAAAAACAGCAATTAATAGTTTAAGTCACAGGCGCACTTTGAAGTATTCAAATGGCTGAAAGGCTATATGTGTGTATTATAAAAAAGTGTGCGCATTTATACTTTTGTAAGTAAGTATATTATTTTGTGTTCATTCATAACAATGTGGCAAGTAAGAAAACCACAAACGGGTGCACAAAATGACTTAGTTGAAAAGTGTTTTGAATTTCTTCGAAGCAAATGCAGTTTACTATTTGTGAACTTCGCGGTTTGCTTCAACTTTATTTCAGAGATTAATTTTTATTGTTTCTCTTTAATATTCGTTGCAATTTAAGTTCAGTTTTCTATACTTTGTGGTTGAGTTTTTACGAATTCCTAGCCAACAGCTTGGGAAATGTGTATCATAACCTGCTTGTTTCTTTGTTTTACTTTTTATATTTATTGGTTTTGTTTTTTTTTTTTTTGCAACAGTATATATTTTTCTCGAATTCAAATATTATCTACAATACATATTAATAACACTTTTTTTAATTACAGTCTATTATTTATTTTGCACCAGAACAAACAAAATAATATATATTTTTTAATATAATAAATAAGTCTTCATTAAACTTAAACTCAAAAATTTTATAAAAACGTGACAAATACTTAAAACTTTTCAAGTTTATTCATAGGTTTAGATGAAGAAGTTTTCTTAATGTTTGAATTTAAAAAATTAACGCTATCATAGCTAATGCATAAAATTAATGTTTTGCCACGAATAATTTTTGTATTCCTTTATTCATAAAAGCGTGTTTGTTTAACTTTCAATCATTTACATTTGAAATTAATATTTTGCATGTCTTTAATCTTAGTTGAAATTTATATATTTTTACATTTTGATTT